GGTGACCCGGCCACCAGCGGAAGCACGGCTTGCGCCCCGCCAGAAGGGTGGGCGGAGTAGAGGAGCGGCCTGGGGTGGGGGCTTCGGGGAAGGAGGAGAAAGGGGAAGCCGCGACGCCCTGCTTCCTTCTCTCGCTGCGACCGAGCGCCCCACTTCCTCCTCCTACTTCTATTTTATGTGGGTGCTCTTAACCCTTCACGTGCCCGCACCTCTGCTGGGCGCATGGACCTGAGCTACCCCTTCCCCAGGAAGGGAGGGGAAGGATCAGCCAATCCAGACCCAGCGCTCCCCTCCTGTCGGAGGGACTGGCGTCCACCTTCCCAGGCCCCTGGGGAGGGCCAGCCCCCAGGCTCAGGCCGGGCCACCGGCTCCTCGCCTGTCTCCCCGCAGACGACGGGGCAAACGGGGTCCTGCGGGAGAGCTGGAGGTGCTCGGCCCAGAGTCCCTGGAGTCTCCGCAGTTGGGTTAGGAATTAGCAAACCAGGAATGCAGGCGGCCCTGGCGGTGGAAGACTTGAATAGGACTCCGTGTCACAGCATCCGTGGGCCACAAGGTCCTCCGTTATTGTGGGCTGAACAGCCACCGCCCTACCTGAGACCTTGAAAGACACAGTGACTGCTCTTCTCGACCCTTTAAATGCCAAGAAAAGGCAGCTTCCCCAAAGGGATAGAAAACGATATTCTTGGCCGCACGGAGGGCTTCATCCAACTTCTATTTAAGGGACGGAGAACTCCCAGCCCATGTACTGCCACTTTGCCTCCTCCGCTCCACATCTGGAAAAACCTTGGAGAATATCGCTCAGGGCTGCACTATAACCAAGGTCGGTGCTTCCAACCACGTAGAGGCACCTGGGAAGAAAGACCTGGTGACCTGCTTCTCCTCTGCACCATACATGAGGTCATCGTGTGTTGGAATCAGTTGGAGGACACACCGCCGTAACCAATAGGGAGCACTGGTATCTTGACAAAGGAGCCCTGATGGTATATTGGTTACTCCTAGGGCCGCTGACCCAAAGCCAGCAGTTCAAAACCACCCAGCCTCTCCTTGGGAGAAAGACGGGATGTTCTACTTCCAGTAAGAGTTGCAGGCCTGAGAACTCGGGGGCAGCTCTTCCCTGTCCTATAGGCTCACTGTGAGTTGGAATGGAATTAATGGCAGTGAGCTCTTTTTTTTTTAGACCTCCATGGGCCATATCCTCTTGGGGTTCCCAGAACTGAACATGGGGGGAAAGACCAAACCAGAGTTGCTGAGTGAGTGCTCTCTACTGGGAGCTCAGCATTGTAGGAAGCTAACTTCGTCCCACGCTGAGATGCCCTCAGAGATGGGCATTCCCTGCTCCGCCACCAGCTATGGCCCGTAGGTCTCGTTTGCATCTTCCTTTTTGCCCTCAAATTTGTAGTTCCACCTGTGTTTCTTTACCTAGAGGGCTGATTACCGATCCAGAAATACTCATATTGTCAGCACCTGACACCTTGTGGCCAGAACATAGAACTAAATCTATCAGGTACATGCTTCCACCTCAATATTTCCTCAAGGTCACTGATAAGAGTTAGAAGGGTGTCTCTGCTCCTAATTGGTTACCTGATGACCTACCACTCTGAACAGTACTTCTGTCGTCTCGTGTATAATATTTTTTCCTTGCCTACTGATTTCAAAGAGGACTCAATCCCTGTCTCCCACATCCTCGACCTACATTGATTTCCCCAAGGATCTGAGAAAGGTTGCCCATGACACCCAAGTGTCACACCCAGTGATCTCATAGTCTTGCCTCTCTGCAGCATGTGACAAGACCTCTCCCCTTTGGCTTCTCTTCCTCCATCTCACACCACCTTTGTTTGTTTTTTTTCTTTCTTTCTTTCTGGGTTCATTTTTTTTTCATTGTCCCTTAAGCATTGGAATTTCTGAGGCTCCAAATTAGGCTGCTTCTCTTCTTCCTAAACAATTCATTCATTCCCATCATTTCCCAAAAATGGATAGCCCAGACTTTTCCTGAGCTCTAGATCTAGAATTCCTAGTGGATAACCTCAAGAGACCTTAATCACCCCCATATCCTGGAAGTATTCCCCATCTCCCCAAAAACTCCTTTCCTTACCTTCTCTAACTCAGCTAACATCTTCACTGTTTACATTTCCCATTTTCAAAGCCAGAAACCTGGTCGCTATGCACATACTTTGCATTCAGAACAAGTCAAGAACTCTTACAACTCAAACCCAGAAGGAATCAGATTAAAAAGGAGCAAAAGACTTGCACTGACACTTCACCAAAGGAGATATTTAAGTGGCAGAGGGGCACATGAAAAGGTATTCGACATCAATACTTGCCAGGGGAATGCCAATCAAAACTGGGAGATACCCTTTTGACTACAGAAACAAACTATTCTGTCAGAGTACAGCCAGGGTGCTCTTTAGAAGCTGTGGTAGTGAGCATTGGTCTCATGTACTGTGGACGTATTGTTGGGAGAGATCTCTCCCCGGAGAAAGGCATCAAGCGGAGGGGCAGTGAAAAGAGAAATAGCCTGGGCAAGATGGATTGACGCAGTGGCTGCAACAATGGGCTTCAACATAACAACAATGGTGAGGATGACAAAGGGCCAGGTGGAGCCTCCTTCTACTGTACAAGGCGGGAACCAACCGGAAAGCACCTCACACAACAACCTTCTTCAACAGCATCAAGGTCAAGAAAGACCCAGACTGATGTAACTGTCAAGTTAACTGCATGGAAGGACTCTGGATTGGATCCCAGACATAAGTGGGACAATTGGCAAAGTTTGAATAAGCTCTGTAAAGTAATAGGATCATACCCATATTAATTTTCTGATTTCAGCGAGCATCCTATATAACATAAGGTTTTAACATTTTGAGCTGTTGGAGAATAAATGGGCAGTCTGCTTTTGAAACTTTTTTTGTGAATCTAAAGTCATTTCAAAATAGAAACTTGAGCAAGTTAAAACTACAAGTTGCACATCTTAGAAACTTTTTACACACTTCCCATTTCATTTTACTGTAAATGAATTATACTCAAACTAAACAACACGAATACTATTCATCCATCTTCTTCATAAGGCAGGTATAAGCCCTGGGGGTGGACAAAAGTACTGATTATGTCCAGCTTTTTATCAAAGTTGTTATATGCTGTGACAAAGCAGGGTTTGGGTTGTGGCTGGTTTGGTCTTTAGCAATGCTGACATCCTGGGTGAACCTAAAGGAATTCAGACACATCCGGTGCTTCACAGGACTGGTGGCCGTCAACCATTTGCCTGACTGTGTTGATGTACTCAAGAGTCTGGGGCTTGGGAGGAGGACTTATGAGTGGGCCTGAAGGATAAGGAGAGGCCTCCATGGAGGCTCCAGAATCAGTTTATAATTTTGTTATTGTTTAAAGTGGCCATCTGATGGGGACTTTAGGTACAACCGAACGAACCACTATCCGGTCCTGCTGTATCCTTCTGTTGTTCTGTTCGAGACCATTGTTACAGCCTCCAAGTCATTTCATCTCCTTGAGGGGCTTCCTCTTATTCATTAGCCCTTGCTTTGCAAAGTATGCTGTACTTTCTCCAGGGATACCCTATCCAAACGACACGAGATGACGTTTCACCATCCTTCCTTCTAAGAAGCATACTGGCTGAACTTTTTCCAACACAGATTTGTTCTGACAGTCCATGTCATGTATTTATGTATGTACAGAGAAAGACATTCGTATCAGGAAAGGGGCCTCACACATTTGTGTAAGTGGGGAAGTCTAGTCTCGTTCAAGGCCATGGATCCTAACACAGGATCCTGTTGCTCTGTCCAAACAAAGGTACAGACTCTACGTGAGCACAATTAAGTATTCTGAAACTGCCGTTCTTTGTAATGTTATCCACAATTTGTTGTGAGTCACACAGTTGAATGTCTTGGCACAGCCAATAAACATCTCTCTGGGATTCTTTCCTTTCAGCCAGAGCCCATCTAATGTTAGCAGTGATATCCCCTGCACTGCCTTCTCCTCTGAGCCCAACTTGAATTTCTGGCAGTTCTCTGTGGATGTTTTTTTAATTGTCTTCTGCAGAACTTTACTTGCATGCAATACTAATGTTGTTCCATATTTTCCGCATTCTATTGGATCGCCTTTCTTTGGAATGGGCAAATTCTAGGTAGTTGGCTGTTTTTCAAGTTGTGTGGCACAGTGAAATGAGCGGCGTCGGCATGGCATCCGTTTGTTGAAACTTCTCACTTGCCATCTGAGATCGCTAACGTTTATTGTGCTGACATGGCCAATGAGCACACGTGGGATTAATTGAAGGGCGGGGAGAGAAATGGCTCGGTGAGCCTCGCCTCTTGCCTCTTGCCTCTTGCTCTTTGATCATCAGACCAGTGTGCGGCTGCCTTGCTTGTTCTGTACCTCAGTTTGCAAGCTACACTACCTGTGGGACACCTAACCCGTGGACTGTGTCACTGTCATTTGAGGTTCCTTCAAGACCTGCTTTGCCACACTATTGGAACTTACATCTCTTGAGCTGGGGACGGTCGGACCCTGTCATCTGGCTGACTGTTGGTGACCTGCCTTGCTGTTTGCTGCCTGTGCCTGGATAGCCTGAATTGCTCT